CAAATCAATCATTGGAGAAAAAAAAACACATTTGAATATTGTGATTGAATCTGCGACAAATGAATACTAAAATATTTTATTATTATGTTGAAAATCAAATCTCTCTCGCACACAGAGATGATAAATCAACGATTTAAATCACATTTTCAGATAATAATTTACGGTAGTGGCCCGTTTTTTTATACCCTCCAACATAGTATGGAGGGTATATTAATTTTGTTTTTCCGTTTGTAAGTCATCAAAATGATAATTTCCGAACCTATAAAGTATATATATTCTTGATTGGCATAAATTCTATTAGGCTATATCGGTCCACGTTTAGGCATAGCTCCTATATAAGGGTATTTTAGGGGTCTTGAGCGCGTTTTTCAATCGAATTCGCTGAAATTTTGTAAATTGGGTTCCTAATGGGTACCAAATTTCCAATTTTTTTCATCTCAAGCACCTGCCAATATACCTATGCTGGAGGGTAACCAAAGTTCAGCCCGATATCCAACAAACAGCAAAAAGATCTACAAATTTTAGATAGGTTTCAAATATCTAGGTAAAATAAAAACTACGACAGCATGAGTTTTGATAATTCCCCGTCCCATTACTTGATTAATTTAAGGGAACCCCACCCATTCCCGATTTTAATTTTTCAAGATTTTCAGTGGGCTGGTAAATCAATACCAATGCTTGTTAAGGTTTGTAACTTTGCACATATATATTTGAAGATTTAAAAGAGAAGAAAAATAATTTACAAAAACATTTTGTTATTGTTTTGTTGATGTTTTTTGTAATTAAAGAAAAGTCCTTATTTTTGATGGCGGGCATGACTCCTCACTGGAACATCGGAATCCGAAAATTCCAACGGTGTTAGAAAGGGTACATGTCTGGCTCTCGTATGAACTAGGATTATTGACATCGCTCCAAAATTAACAAAATGGCGGACCTTTAAAAAAATTTTAGAAAATCGCCTATTTTGACCAAAAACCAAGTTAAAAAATAAGGAAGATCTTCACCGATTGGCTTTATCCTAGTTCATACGATAGCTATACACTCACAGAGAAACGTATAAAAATTTTGAAACGATCGGATCATTAGTTTTTGAGTTATCGTGCCCGCCATTCGCAAAAGAGAAAGAGAAAAATCGCCTATTTTGACCAAAAACCAAGTTAAAAAATAAGGAAGATCTTCACCGATTGGCTTTATCCTAGTTCATACGATAGCTGTACACTCACAGAGAAACGTATAAAAATTTTGAAACGATCGGATCATTAGTTTTTGAGTTATCGTGCCCGCCATTCGCAAAAGAGAAAAACGCGTTTAAAGTTTGAGAAGCCCCTTAGCCGTCACCTGATGCTGACACAATAAATCGGCTATATTTTCAAGTGTTCTTGAGATTATCACTTGAAATTTTGTAGGGACATTCTTGAATTAGAGTAGATTCGAATTAAATAAAAAAAATTGACCCCGAGAATGGGGGGTCCCCTTAAAGTAAAAACGTTATCCGACCGTCTGTCTGTCCATGTTAAATTGTGAACAAAGTACAGGTCGCATTTATTATTCGAATTGGATGAAATTTGGCACAGCTCATTCATTTGGCCCAAGGACGAACCTTATTGAAATTGGAAAATATCGGTTCAGATTTAAATATAGCTCCCATATATATTTTCGTCCGATTTAAGGTAAATGGTGATCCAAAGTCCCTATATCGTTCGATTTGCACATAGATTCGAATTTGACATAGCGTACTGACTTAAGTCTAGAATGATGTACGTTAATTTTCCTGAAAATGCAGATTTTGATATATCTGCCACCTAAAATCGGACGAACATATATGTCCGATTTTCGGTAAATGGTGCACCAAACTCCTCCGATTGACACGAAATTTTGCTCAACGTATTCAATTGAGATTATATTGATTGCGCTTTTTTTGTAATGGGTGAAGATGCAGACATAGCTTCCATATATATTTCGAACGCGTGTCTGATTGATATTATCGAATAGTGTGTATCAAGTGTCGGGCTTAATGATCGAAGTTTTGCAATGAAAAGGGATGCCAAAATAATAAAAAAAGAACCCACCATTATGCGATGCGTTTCGCCGTTGGTTAAGGTCGTATATTGCTAACTTGTATTTATATCGCAGTTAATGCGAATTTGTATCTGCGAATTAAATTCAATTTTATCACGTTCCGATATTTGTCTTCACTCTAGAAACAGTCCCTTTCAAAGCTGATTTTTAGTTGGAAAGTTCGCTATACATTGAGAACCCAAAATACCAAAATACAGCCTATTCCGCTAAAAAATGTGCCCTACATATATAAAATACCGAAACTCTGTTATATGCGTCAACACAGAAACGTGGACCGATATATCCCACTTGCAATACCAAACATCGTAGGAGTATTAGCAATGTCTGTGCAATTTTCGCAGCTCATGATTTCAACAGCAGGAGGGACAGACAGGCATAAATATACATATAATTTTATACTGATCAAGAATATGTTCTATGGGGTATGTGAGGTCTTGTGAGAACCTGATCTATCAAATTGAAGCTGATTAGATTGAAAAAACGTGTCCAAAAACTTCAAAATACCGAATATTTGCGGTAACGGTTATATGGAAGCTACAACGATATATGGGCCAACATTGATAATTTTTGACTGACATGGGTAAATCAATAATTCTTTTATTCCGACCAACAATAAATATACTTTATAGGGTCTCAGGTTTATTTGATGTTTTGAGGTTTTGAAAACGGAATGACTAATTTAATATTCACTCCAGCTTGTGGGGAGAGTGGACTTTTAAAATACTTAAAATCAATCAGAAGTTTGCATGTATTTGCTAAGTTATGGTAAATGACTGCCGAAAATGATGGGCAACCTTTGTATGTTCTGTGAAGAAGATTATTAACCACCACGGTCCCGGAATGCCAAATTACAGCCGCATCGTAATTGGGCAATAACTTTGACTTAAATGGGCTAGAAAAATTAGGTTAAAACTGGTTCAGATGAGAATTGGCTCATAGCTCATATGGGAGCTACACCATATGAGCCATCAACCATTTCTCACCAACAGAATAAATGAGCCTTGCCAAATTTCGCCTCTATTTGATAGTAAATATGTACTTACTTACTTATCTGGCTTGTTACAGAACGGTTGTTCCATAAGCCGAGCTTAAGAAAGATTTCCAAGCGCGTCGGTCTTGTGCGCAAGTCCACCAGTTTGGAAGACCACGTTTCAAGATGTTGTTTTCTACTTGGTCTTTCCATCTAATTCGTGGCCTTCCCCTTCTACGGGAACCATCAGTAGGCTAATTTTTATATGCCTTTTGAGCTGGGGCATTTCCATTCATCCGCACAACATGGCCTAGCCACCGTAGTCGCTGCAGCTCAATACGACTGACTATGTCGATGTCCGCGTATAAATTGTAAAGCTCGTGGTTCATTCGACGCCGATATTCACCGTCGACGCAGATCGGCCCGTAGATCTTTCGGAGAATTTTTCTCTCAAACACCCCAAGAACTGTCTCATCTGCTTGCGCAAGTACCCATGCTTCTGATCCATATAATAGCACAGGTAGTATCAGCGTCTTGTAAAGTGTGAGTTTGGTCTGGCGGGAGGTGGCCTTGTTTCTAAACTGCTTACTTAGACCATAGTAGCATCTGTTGGCCATCACAATCCTTCTCCGAATTTTAAAACTGATGTCATTCGTTTTATTTATGGCGATACCAAGGTATATAATGTCTTTAACTACCTCGAAGCTGTAGTTCTCAAGTTCCACAATTGGTCCGAGTCTACTTGACGTCTTGCGCGTTGATACCATCAGCTTGGTCTTCTCGCCGTTTACTGCCAGACCCATCTTGGCAGACTCCTTTTCAATTTGTTCAAAGGTGGCTGTTACCGCTCGCAATGTTCGACCCATTATATCGATGTCATCGGCGTAGGCGAGTAACATGTGTTGTTTGGTGTACAGAGTGCCATTTCTGTTCACCTTTGCGTTTCGTATGACCTTTTCCAGTAGGATGTTAAAAAGATCACACGACAAACTGCCACCTTGCCTGACTCCTCGTTCGGTATTGAAGGGCTCCGATAGGTCCTTTCCTACTTTAACTGTCGACCTTGTGCCACTTAGAGTTATCCTGCATAGCCGTATTAATTTTGCGAGAATGCCGAACGCAGACATGGCTTTTAACACCTCTGAACGGATAGGGCTATCGAATGCGGCTTTATAGTCGACAAATAGGTGGTATGTGTCCATGTGTTTTTCGTGGGTCTTTTCTAGAATTTGGCGCAGAGTGAAAATCTGGTCAATGGTAAATATGTATGTATAATTTATAAATTGTAAATATGTCATGGACTCGGACGCCACTATTGTTCATTGTTAATTTCATTTATTTGCTCATCATTTCATAAATCAAAAAACTATACTAATATTGTTTCAATTTCTCTCTTCTTTTTTTGTTTACTTTTATGTAATTCGGAAATCTCAACACAAAATTTGCAATTTCAACAATTATGCGAAAACACACAAAATCCATCTGTCATGCGAATAATGATGATTTGACATTACCAACAACGACGGAATCTGTTTTGTGGAACGTCACCGGAATAATGTGTGTGTGTTTGTGCAAATGGAAAATGCCAACGGAACAACTGGACATCATAAAAACAAAAATATGGTACACGTGGCTGCTGTGCACTCATCTGTGTCATGCCTACGAACATGTTCCGTGCCTGTCGTCCGCATGTCTATGTCCACCGTCTGATGGACATATGGAATTGACTCGAACTCTTTTTGGACAAAACGGAAACGATAACACAAATTCATCTAAAAATAACACATAAACACACACGCACACACTCGCATACCCGTACACACATGCATATACACTCGCCGAACAACAACACCAACGGAAATGCAATTCAACAACGGAAATTGAAAATACCTATTCATGTTTGAATTGACGCGCCTCACCCCACCCCAACCTTTTGTGCGACTAACTGCAGATTCGTTTGGCAGCCGATAAACTCTGCTTTGACTTAGTACCCAATGTCCAGAACAATGTCACACTGGCCATTGTGGTCAAGATAAATCGGGCCACCTCTTGGCATTCCGTCGAACTAGACTATCGAGATGGCGAAATTAAATTTACCGTCGACTATCACCATCAGCGCACCGAAATGTACGGCCTGACCTTTAACATCGGTGACAAATTGATCATCGGCAGCAGTTTAAAGTCAGCCGCATCTGGTCTCGTCGGCTGCATACGAGACATCGAGATTAACGGTCATCTGATAGAGCCCCGTCACGTGGTCAAGACGGAACGGGTGGTGGGCGAAGTGGCGCTGGACAATTGCCAGTACATTGATCCGTGTAAACGGCCCAACACTTGTGAGCATGGCGGCAAGTGTTTCGTCAAGGATGACCGGGTGACTTGTGACTGCAAACACACCGGCTACATTGGCAAAAACTGTCATTTCACCAAGTACCGTAAAACCTGTGAGGAGCTGGCTCTGCTGGGCTATACCAAATCGGATGTCTATCTAATTGACATCGATGGCAATGGAGTCTTTCCGCCGGCCCATGTCAAATGTGACTTCCAGAGTTTGGAGAATGCAACGAAAACAATTGTCGAACACAACTTGCCCAGTCAAGTGGATGTGCGTTCGTCACGTGATTCGGACTTCAGCTTCAATATACGCTATCGTGAATTCTCACCGGAAATGTTGCAGGAATTGATCTCGCATTCGCTGTACTGTACACAATATATCAAATATGATTGCTATAAGGCACAGTTGGAATTGCATTCGGCAACGTGGTTTACTTCGTCGGCTAAAAATCATACTGTGGATTTTCTGGGCAATGTTAAAAGGTATGTACATAGCTAAGTGAGTGTATGTGTGTGTGTGTGCGTACGTGTAAATGGTAGTATGTAGTGTAAGCAATTTTGGGGTCAAACATGATTCAATCATGTCAAGTCACTAATTGAATTAATGAAGTTGCCGAATATTGAAATGGGGAAGGAGAGAAGGGTTTTAAATGTTGGAAAATGTTTCGATTCGAAATGGAAAAATATCGAAAAATTACTACGTTGTTTTCTAAAAGGTTTTTTATCCTCGGGCAAAACCAACTATGAAATTACCAATCGTTTCGGGTTCCGGAAATGGTAAACGTCGTTACAGAAAAATTTCGATATGCGTCCACTTTTAGGTATTTTGAAGAGTTATTTTCCAAATTAAGAGACTGTCATTTGGCCTTCCAGGTTTTTGGAGTGTGAAAACATCTTTGCAGCAAGATTTTAATTTTTATACCCTACACAACTATGTTGTCAGTACCGCCGCGAAATATTGGCCCTAGCCCCACCTTTAATTATACCGATCGTCATATCTCGACTAGCTGAGTCGATCTAGATATGTATATCCGTCCGTCCGTCCGTCTGTCTGTCCATTATAATTTGTAAACACGATACATTCAACAGTTATGGACCAATCTTGACGAAAATTTGCATGTATGATGGGTTCTGACCAATGAAGACCCCTATGTCTTTGGTAATGATGCGTTTATATTTAGGGGATGAAATGGACCAAATACTTAATTTTTGTCGGTTTTTCTGGTCGCTCCAGAGGCCGCAGTTATGGTCCGAACATCGCGAAATTTTACATGGAGTATGGGATCGGGCCAAAGAATATCCATGCCTGTTTTGATAAATATTGGTCAATATTTAGCGGGCCAAATGGACCCTAAATTTTGTGTGAAAAATTACAGAATTTGTATTCTGCGGCATATATTCCTGAAGAACATAGAGCCGATAAGTTGGCAGTATAACCAAGAGGAGTGGTTGACCTTTAAAATGACACCAATTATATTGTCGTATGTACTCGGATTTGGGAGACTCATTTATATGTTAACCGGTGCTTACGTATTCAGATATTATTTAGTAACCCACAACACAACCCACGGAGATGGGAATATGGACAAGAAAATATGTCAGTGTAAGGATGAGGTGCAGATGAGGGCCTCTAATCGGGCAAGAAGGTAAAACTATATCGATATATTGCCCAGGGTCGGAATAAAAATCCACAGAAAGTAAGAGTTCCGTGGTAGTTGTGTAGGGTATCGTATGGTCGGCCCCGTCCGACTATATTGCTACGCATACTATTTTTTTTTTTTTTTTGGCAATGCCCTGCCAATTTTCGTTCTGTTGAAGATTATTTGGCCTTTGGGACTCCTGGTGGATAACAGAAACTTCTTCTCAGAAAATATTCAATAGAGGTCCACGTTTTTATATAAATACAATAAATACCCAAAAAATTCCCCGATTTAGCCATGTCAGTCTTTCTATTTGTTGATCGTGATTTCAGAGCTCGCACGTACACACATATGATATTGCTATTAGTACTAGGATGTGTGGTATTGAAAATGAGTTATATCGGTTCGCTTTTTAAGGTAGTCCCCATAAACCGCTACATCCCTATAGTCCGTATTGTCAGGCTTTTGGCAAATTTTTCTACCTTATTGGTTGAAACTTTGCAATATTGGTCCACTTTTTAGGATAGCCCTATAGGGTGGATCAAAACTTCAAAGTATCGAATTAGAAGGATTGAATTTTATATTACCGATTCTCATTTAACACAGAAACACTCTACGAAAAATTTTCAATATTGATCCAGGTTTCAAGATAGACCCCCAAATAACAATATTTGGTATTTGGATTTTTTAATACGTCATCTGCGATTAGGCATTTAGGTTCACTAAATCGTCCTCCTATAAATTATCAATATTGGTGATAGGTCATAGTTTTTTTTCAAGCCTGTTATTATGCCCAACATTTTTTAGGTCGCATCAAAATTTTTTCGGATCTTCCCCTACTTTTTATACCCTTCACCACACTGTAGTACGGGCTATTATGTCTATGTGCATATGTTTGTAACAGGCAAAAGGAAAAGAGATAGACACATGGTTCCTTTTGAGAATATACATAGAATCAATTTCTGAGTCGTTTTATGCATGTCCGTCCGTCCGTCCATCCGTCCGTCCATGTATTTTTGTGAATAAACTGCAGGGCGTATTTGTGTTCTGATTGGGATAAAATTTGGCACAAATTTCTCATTTGGCCCAAGGACGAACCCAATTGAAATTGGAGAAAATCGGTTCAGATTTAGATATAGCTCCCAAATATACTATCCGATTTTATGTAAATGGTACACCGATCTCCCAATATTGGTCAGATTGACACAAAATTGTGCACAGAGTACTGAATTTGGTCTAGATAGATATATGCAAGTTTTGTTGAAATCGGTTCAGATTCAGATATATATATATATATTTGGGAGCTAATATATAGTGTCGCCCGATTTTATGTAAATGGTGCACCAAACTCCCAATATTTGCCCGATTGCGAAAAAATGTTGCATAGAGTACTGATTTATGCCTACAGAAATATGTGCCAAGTTTTTTTTTTTTTTTTTTTGAATCGGTTCAGATTTATATATAGCTCCCATATATAGTTTCGTTCGATTTTATGTAAATGGAGCACCAAAGAATCAAATTGAAGCCGCTTGGCACAAAATATATGAATACGAAGCTTTATTGGAATCGGTTGAGACTTAGATATAGCTCCCATATATAGTTTCCTCCGATTTTATTTAATTTAATGAAGATTGATATATGGGACATTTTGTAGAAATCGAGTCAGACTTAGATATAGCTCCATATGTATGTACCCAGAGTGGTGAAGGGTATCATATAGTCGGCCCAGTTCGACTTTTGAGCTTTCATTACTCGTTTTTCGTTTTTTGCGATTGACACGTGGAAGAAAAATTTAAATTTTGGTCATTTACAAAAAGAACAACAACAAAAAACAACATTTCAAACTAAATACAACACTAGGAATAACAAGAAGAAGAAAAGTTTGTAAAACATGTATTCAATGCTTGATTTACGTACCGTATCAGTTGACCATAAAGTCATGGTAAAATAAGAAGAAGCAAAAGAACATTTCTTTGGCACATTACAAATTTAAACTCCAATGACCATAACTAAATAAAGAAAATTCACATACTACTACTTGTGCATACATGAGTGAACAAAATTGTAGCATAACTACAAGTACTTAAATGGGAAGATAACTAATTCTCAAAAAGGAAGTCAATACCAATCAATCACCTGTTTGTTAAATAAAATTTAAATTATTTAAAAACCAGTGAGCGGAGCAGTATACTCGGACGGGGCCTACCATACACAAATTAAGTTTTCGGTTACACAAATTAACTTTTCGGTCGCACACAAATTAAGTTTTCGGTCCACTTCATCCCAAAATTATTATCTGATCATCACCGAAAATTATAGGCATGTCCTTGACCATAACGGGAACCTCACGGAACATTTCAAAGCGATCAGCGGTATATTTCACCCTCTAGTGTGGTAATGTGTTACTAAATAATATCTGAGTACGTAAGCACCTTTAAATATTTAAGAGTAACTCCCACATCCGAGTACACACGACAATAAAATTGATATCAATTTAAAGGTCAACCACTCCTCTTGGGTATACTATCAACTTCTTGGGTCTATGCCCTTCAGGGGTAAATCTATACGCTATAGGATACAATTTTTTAATTTTTCAACACAAAAGTCAGGGTCCATATGATCCCCTAAATATTGAGAGATTTTTATGAAAGCAGGCATGCTTATTCTTTGGCCCGATCCCCTTCTCCATGCAAAAATTCGCGGAGTTTGGTCATAACTGTGGCCTGTATAGTGTTTACAAATTATAATGGACAGATGGACGGACACACATGTCTAGATCGATTCAGCTAGTCGAGATATGACGATCGATATACTTAAAGGTGGGTCTAGGACCAATATTTCGCGGCGTTACAAAATCTTGGGGCTGCACAAGGCTATAATACCTTGACAACATAGTTATGTAGGTTATAATTATTGTTTATATTTATTATACCCTACACAACTATGTTGTCAGGGTATTATAGCTCTGTGCAGCCCCAAAAGTTTGTAACACCGCGAAATATTGGTCCTAGACCCACCTTTAAGTATACCGATCGTCATATCTCAACTAGCTGAGTCGATCTAGACATGTGTGTCCTTCCGTCCATCCGTCTGTCTACTATAATTTGTAAACACGATACAGGCCACAGTTATGGACCAATCTTCACGAAATTTTGCATGTAGGATGGGTTCTGGCCAATGAAGACCCCTATTGTTTTCGGCAAAGATAGAGTTATATTTAGGTGATGAAATGGACCAAATACTTAATTTTTGTCCATTTTTCTGGTCGCTCCAGAGGTCGCAATTATGGCCCGAACGTCGCGAAATTTTACACCGCGAAAGGGATCGGTCTAAAGAATAATCATGACTGTTCTGGTAAAGATCGGTCAATATTTAGCGGGTCAAATGGACCCTGGCTTTTGTGTGAAAAATTACAAAATTTGTATTCTATGGGGTATATATTTACTCCTGAAGGATATAGACCCGAGAAGTTGATACTAAATCCAAGAGGAGTGGTTAACCATTAAATTGATACCAATTATATCGTCGTATGTACTCAGATGTGGGAGTTGCACTTAAACATTTACAGGTGCTTACGTAATCAAATATTATTTAGTAACCCATTAACACACTAGTGGGCGGAAATATAGCGTTGATCGCTTTGAAATGTTGCATGAGGTTCCAGTTATGGTCAAGGCCTATATTTTCTGAAAATATGTCAGTGTCAGGAAGAACTGTTGATCTCTAATCGGGCAGAAATTTTGCCCAGGCTCGCAATAAAAATCCGCAGAAAGTTAGAGTCCCGTATTAGTTGTGTAGGGTATCGTATGGTTAGAGATGGGCAGTGGGTAAATACCCAAAGGG